GCTGCATTCTATGGTGAGAAATGCAGTATGTGTGGTGGAGATCCGAAATATTACAGCTCCAACCAGAATTCATATTATAAAACTACGGGCAGCCATAGATCTCCTTACAGAATGTTTTTAGAAATGGAGTTAGGTCTTCATTGAAGAAAATAAAATATATGGCTTCCTAGCTCCATGCTATCCAATACATGGCCTGTGATTTACACATCAGGCCAGTTGCATATTCCACCCAAAACATGCACAGTCCTATAGCCTGGATGTGTGATATACAGTTTGGAATACAGGGCTGTTGTTTTTTCTCCTCTCCCCTGTTGGGCACTGCTAACTTCAGTGGCTATAATGGGCATTTTGGAAAGAAGGGAAAAGGGCACAGAGAAGCCAGTGGAGCTACACAAGAGTGAATTTGGCTCATCTTCTCCACTGCTTCCTTGCCCTTTAATCTAGACTAATCAATCTGTTACAATATTTATTTTATGCCTGGAATTCACACTGGGATCTTGCAGAATAAATCACCTTCTAGAACCTACCTGCCCTTCAGAAACAGGGTCGTAAGATCCAGGACTCCCTGTGGTCAATCCGTTGTCAGAAGGCTCTGCTCTCCTTGCTTTATCATGGAACCTAGAGTGACACTTTGAAGGGGATTGTCAGCTGCATTGAAACAAACAAGTTGACCACTGCCACAAAGGGCCAGGAGCTGCCTTCCTCCAAACTCCAACTTTTCCCAGCCAAGACACAGCATTTTCCACAGCCTTCCTGTCTACATGGGGAAAGAAGTGTCAAGGTCTAAACTAAACTTGAAGGAAGACTCATGTACTTTCCCCTTCTCCTAATGTCTGGTTTGTCTTGGGGCAATGTCTGTGTGAAGTCCAAGGACATTATCTTCCTGCAATTCACAGCCAGTCTCTACCAGCAGGTATATTCACCCACCTATGCAACACATTCAGAAAACCGCTGATGCTGCAGGCATGCGTCCCAGCAGTGTGTGCTTTGGCACAGAAGGAAAACACAGCTGCCCTTGGAAAGCAACTTGTGGTTGGTGGTGGTGTTTTGCTTTTTTAAGACTTAAGACTTTTAATGGGGAAAATGAAACTTTATGGGAAAACATGTGCCCTTCCAGAAACATTGCCGGTGCTTGGAACTTTGGGGATTGTGTAGATCTCCCACTGTGATTAGACTTAATGGACTTTGCAGAGTAAACGCACAGACACACACACATACAAATCGCTCACTCTCCATCAGGGCAGGCTGCTGCTGCAATCTTAGCTGTTCACTTAGTGAAACACAACATAGCTACAATGTGTCAAGATTATTTAGTATTTGTATCAGTCACATGATTCTAGTGTCTATTAGCTGCACTGTCAGCTGACATCTAATGAGTTCTGACTTCAGAAGCAATCAGGGTGAAAAGGATCCAAAACCCAGGCCTAAGAATACAAACAAGATGCCAAAAGCAAGAGCAGAGGCATGAGCTCAGGTGATGATAGATGGATTCTTCCTGTTCAAGTTCAGGAGGGAGTTTTTTGATCAGTTCTCTTCTGGAGAACAGTTGGTCCTGAGAGATGAGATTGGATGTAGGGACTGGGAGGAGTAGGTGGAAGAATGACCTAATAGATTCTGGGCAAGTCTAGGCTACAGTTCTATATGAGCACAGCTGCAACAATGCCGCTGCACCGCTGTAACGCACCTGGTGAACACATACTATGCTGCTGGGAAAGACTCCCATAGGCATATTCACAGCACCTCAGTGAGAAGTGAAAGTTATGTCAGCAAAAGAGCAGCTTCCGCTGACGTGGCGCCAGAGTGGACAGCACAAAACTTGTGTGGCTCCAGGAACGTTTTTTCACACCCCTGAGCAATGCAAGTTTGATCAACCTACCTGGTAATGTAGTCTTGCCCTCTGAGAGAGACATGGTGGGTGAGAAAATACCTTTTAATGGGTCAACTTCTGTTGAGGAAAGAGGCAAGCTTTCTAGAAGAGTTCATGGAGCTTAAAAGCTCATCTCACCAACCGAATTTGGTTTAATAAAATATATTGCCTCGCCCACCTTGACTCTCTCATGTCCTGGGACCAACCCATCTACAACAGCACTGCAAACTAATGGATTTTATAGGTCTATGAAGCTTCACTCACTACATTGCAGAATTGGTTGAAAAAAAAAATGTGTTACAGGAATTTCTCAAAAGCTTTAAATAGAGCTTCAGAAAAAAAAATCTTGAAAAATTTTTGGTGAAGGGTTTTTTCTTTTATGCATGAAAATTCACTTTTTGATGAAAAATAGATTCAAACCCCTCATGGTTTAAAAAAATTTCAGCTAGTTCTACTAAATAGGCAAGTCTTAAGAAAAAGGAAAGGAAAGGAGGATAAAATTGCTATATCCATAGCATTCCAGAGGGGTCAAGTGATCCAAAATAGATGCAGGTGTCTGAAGTTCTCCTCTGCAGTCATCTAGGATCTGAAACAGTGACAGACATATTCTATCAAAACAAAACTGGCCTGGTGCGTATGCAGTGCTAGTAGGGTGGAGTCCTACACAGAAATTAGTGAAGCTGTGGTTTTAGCTCAGAGTAACCCATTATTTCCTGCAGCAGTTCAGCCAGGGACAAAATGGTGCCTGTTTCTTAGGAAAGAAAGCAGCTGACGTATGGCCTTGGTTGTGTGAAGGTGGTTATGGACTTTCACGTTTGCTGCAGTCAGTATATGAGTAGTGAAGGGCAGTGATAGGAGGATGGTGCCAATAAGCATGTGATAAGAATGGTTTTAGAGCTTCCTAGTCCCCATCTCTGACTGGTATTGGAGAGCCACTGGATTATTCTCCCAATCTGATACCAGACATAACTCCATCCAGTCCTAGCACACCCCATTCAGTCCCCCGGACATAATCCCATTGATATGACCAAAGCCTGAGTCAGTATCCCCCTCGGTCCCCTGGGATCAAGATGGAGTGCTGGGATTTGGAGTATACTGCCCCTATGTTATGGCAGTCACAGGCCATGTTGTCAACTTCCTTTGGCCACAGTTTTTCCCCTGAGGGCTGCACAAGTTTGTCATTTCTAGGGCCACTCACATGGCCACTTCTGTGCTCTGTGATGTGACTTGGACCCATGAGGGATGGCCTTTATTCCCGAAATCACTACAGTACAGTTGTCACTCCTTAGATCAGGCTGGTTGCTACCCTCATAAAAATCTTTCCCATTTTTTCCTTCACCCTTGCATGTATATAGACAGATACATCAGAGATGTACATAGATTCCAGAAGAAACGGTCTCAAAAGATCATGACACCAGAGTGTGAAAAGCCCTGGCACTTTGGTTTTCCTGAGTCAGTACTCAGCAGCTAAGAGACACCTGCTTTCCCTGAGCAGAGGGGCTCCATGCACATTGCGTAGGCACAAGGGCCTTGCATGCTCAACATAACAAATATTGTACACAGAGACACATCTACAGGGCCCTTTTTAAACACGACCCACTCCAGCTGCTGCTGCTGAGGTTGAAGGAAGTTTTGCCATTGCTTTCAGGATGTGCAGTATCCAATACAGAGAGGCAGTTCTCTGCTCCGAGGTGCTTCCAAGCTGGACAGAGGTCAGATAAAAAACTGACTCAGCTGGCTGGAAAA